ACATTTAAATCCTCCATTCACTTAAATAGGATGACAGTTTATTTAATAATGGTCACAGTGTTCCTTTTTTCTTTGCTATTTTCCCCTCTTTAGCAGCATTCTGTATCAAAAAAAAAAAAAAAAAAGAAAAGATACTGTCGACAAATGCAATTCAAATGGACCCTTTATGAAACAACATTTGTGCAAGCTGGTTTGACTCAGTCTGGTATTGTTTCTTGGAGGATGGGAGGGGTGGCTGTGAGAACAATCTGTTTCTTTTAGGAGCCAACTCCTTATGCCTTACTGTGTAAAATAGTAATAATTGAAAAAAAATACCGGTTTGGCTGAATGAGGATTGTAGGATTCAGCTGACTTCACAGTTTTAAGGGTATTTTTTCTTTTTAAGAATGATTGGCCCTTGTGAAATGTGAGGAGCAAACAACATTGCAGGATCTATTTTTATGGAAGGAAGCATCCCTCTGTATGATCCCCAGATGAAAAGCTGTCATCTGTCTTCTGAATAAGTTTTATCCTCCTCCCTTTCAATGGCTAGTTTTTTGTAACTGCAGAAGACTCCAAGCAATTCTTTATAATTCCCTAAATAGAGACATCAGAGTATTGGCAGAAACAGTACACGAACAGGAATGGGCAGCTGTCTCTGAGAGAGAAAAGAAAAAAAAAAAGGGAAGAAAAAAAAAAAAGCAAGCATGCTTACCAGCTTAGTTAAAAGCTGTGAAATGTTGTTATTGAGTGTATGTCAATGTGATGTGTCCTTCCAGTTTAAAATGGTGATTTAAAATGGTGCTTCAAGCAGAAGATTTCTCATTTATGATATATTAGCCTAAGTCTATGAACTGTTCAGTGGAAAGACTCTTGCCAGTCTATCAAAGGTAATTAAAGGCAAAGAATAAACTTCAAAGACAAAGTGCAAATTGAATCGGGGAAAGGAGAGGAGGGAAGGGGAAAAAAAAGGAAGAAAAAAGAAATGAAGGTAAAAAAAAATAATCTTTTCACTTGGGAATATTTAAAAAGGCATCTATTGATGTCAGCCTACAAAGAACGTTTTAAGGATGACCAGAAATATAAACTATTCTCTGAATTTTTATTCTGTTTTATAGAACTGATGTAAAAAGATGGATAAGATTGCAGTGTTAAGTGTTACATCTCACATTCTTTATGGTATCTCATTATTAGGTGGATAATGCATTCTATTAATAGCTTGGACATCTATTGCTAAAATTGCCACACACGTCCCTTATTTTTTGACTTGGATCAGTTGCAATGCTATTCAAATAATACATTATGTTTGTATAGTGTTGTTTCCTAAATAGCTGTGCCAAGTATTCAGTCTGTTCAGTGGAACATACAATTTTAACTTAGTCTCTGCATGTGTTCATCATAGCAGTCTTTAATTACAGGATCAGGTAATATTTCTCAAATAGTACAGTCAAATATTATGTTATTTGTTCTTGGATTTTCAACCCATTTTTTTAATGGGAACATTTAAACACAATTGCAATAAATACATTGCAGTGGAAAATTAAAATTTTGTTGACATTATTTGAAGCATTAAAGCTGTTGAAAAAAATCTTGAAATAGGATTTTCTGTATTAAATAATGCATATTCCTCCTCTCTGCTGTCTTAGTTGTCTTTCAAAATTGGCCAAACATCCTGCATAAACCATCATCACACAGAAAATAATAACCAATAATAAGGATAATGACAGCAGCAATAAATATCATATTCTGAGAGAACAAACCTGCAAAATTTCAGTTTGGAGGCTGAAAGTTTCAGAAACCTATAAAAGAGTATAATGGACTATAATGAAAAACATGATTAATTTAACTGTAGAAGTTGGTATAGTTCCCATTATAGCAAGCAGAAGTCATCTTTTCTGTCTTTAGTCAGCTCTAGAATAAGGCAAATTGTTTAAATATACTGTGAGACAAAGGAATAAGAATTGATTTTCTTGTGCATATTTCTTCACAGTTTTCATATTTTCAAAATCATAATGCATGGAACTGGCATTTTACTATTGGATTATTTAATATATTATGCTCCAAAACCTGCTTACAGCATAATCTTTGATCCTTTCAAATCAGGAGAGGGTTAAACACTAAATCATGATTTTGCTTTATGATTCAGCAGTGGGTGAAAATCTTATCCCACCCTCATGGGAAATTACCTACTAAAAATTCTAGTTTCTTTTGATCTTAATCCAAAGCTCATAAAAATCAATAGTTGTGTTTCTGGTGACCTCCAGTATGATTAATACTAGCTATTTTGGAGGATAGGCAAAGTGTGACACAAATGCAGCTTTACAGATAACCATTGCTATTTCTGTGTCCTGACTACCTGCTCATGAGTTTTGGATATATACATAGGGTAAGAAGAGCACTTGAGCTATAGGAAAGGAATGAAAGGAAGAAAGTGGATAACAGGAAATCACATAGTGGTTTTAGTTTATGTTTCTATTCTATTTTGATATAATTTAAAATTATAAGTCAATGTGTAGAATGTAACATATTTCAGAAGATGAAACAGATGTCTTGTAGAAAAAAAAAAAAACAAGAATAATTATAGAAGTAGCCAAAAGTTCAAATAATAAATTCAAAGTTGGTAAAGCAGAGATTTCACAAAATTTGAAATAGATAGATGTTTAATGTAGAAATAAAACCAGCAGTGAAAGAGTAAAGGGAAAAAATGTATACAATCTAATACCTTTTTACTTTCTTTTTCTCTCTATTGTTTGTTACATTTTCTTTTTCTGTGTTATCTTAAAATTAGATGTGAACTCTAGCCTTTCTCAGTGTTGATTTTTTACACAGAACTTTGCTGGAACTACTTGTATTCATGACGTTAAGCATATTTTTCAAAAGGATCATAATTTATTTGCAAATGAATGCTTCTTCTTTCTTTCTTTTGAAAATTCCAGATAAAAATTATTCTTTCCAGGTAGCAAGCACTTTTTTGTCAAATAAGGGAAGAAAACATCTTGAGTCAGGGTCTTGATACATTGCAGTAGATTTGTGATTCCATATCAAAAGTTTGCTTTTCAGTTTAGCCAATGGTTGTAAACCACAAGAATTATTTTCTCTTTCTGAATGTTATTTCTACAGATATTTAGTGACTGTCTGTGTCTTGGGCTCAGCACTGAAGTTTACTTCTTAAAGACAAAATTGAGAATTGGTTGCATGAATTGGTCTTCTTGGGCCTTTATTGTTGAAAGGGCAAAGCACATGGACTAGGACAGGACCACACTGAAAAGGCAGAAATGATTGTTACTTGGCTTGATAGTTCATAATTAACATTTGCTTCTAGTAAATGGCTATTGCTACACTTCATCATTTGGACAGATCACAGATGTGTAACCTCTGTAATTCTACCTGATCTGTAGAGTGCATGTCTTATTTTCTTATTTTCATATTTATTTGTCATTATCTGGTACAAACTGGACAAGGAATTTTCTTTGGCACAAAAATAAATGATAAAGACTAATCCTGAATATAGGTTTCAGAAAACTGCCATTTCTTTAACACTTCTTTGTGAAGAAATTTGTTGCTGGCAAAACCTTATACTACACACTTATCCTCTGAAAATGCTACCTGCTACAGCAAAGTAACAAGTGAGATGTCTGAAATACACTATGATAAATTCTAACCTCATTTTCACCTATTCATTTCTATATGAATGCCAGTGGCAGCAGTATATTTCTTAGCACTTGAACATTCACAGCCAAGCCCCAAATCAAATAAAAAAAGCTTAAAATGTCCTTCAAGAGGAAATAATATATTTATTTAACTGTCAATCCATATTTAATGATTATTAGGGCAACCAATTAATTAAAATGAGCTACATGAAAATGAATGCAATTAAAATGAAAGGAGGGATGGGATTAAATCTTCTGTACTTTGTACTGGCCTGCCTGGTAACTTTTGTGTCCTTAGTGATCAGTTTCAGTGAAGTCTGAGAAGAAGGAGAGGGAGCTCAAAGATGTGCATATTCTAAAAGTTTTACCAACTCTGGAGACAAAGTAAAGAACAGAAATTATTGTTCCCTCCAAGGAAAGGACAATTATAACTTGGCCAATTCAGGGAAGATAGGATGACGCTGGGGAGACTGGGAGCTCAGAGCTATGAGTTCTGTGCCTCTATAAGGGGGCATGGAAGTGGTTAGGAATAAGAGATACAGTCTCGTAGGAAAACCAGCTTCATTAATTCTGCTAATTTAACTTAACTTTAGCTTCTAAGCATGCTAACAATGAGGTGATAGGTCTTAAATGGGTGAATGCACACTCTAAATTGGTTATTATAAGCTTGACTTACAAATACATTTGTATATATATGCATATACATTTATGTATATCTATATATGCATATATGTATGTGTGTCTGCATATGTACATATGTAAGTATGTATACACACATGCAAATGCATATACGAGCTTGTAATAGAGAAGGTGCCAGTAGATGGCACTCAAGAATGTGTAACTGATGGGTTTTTTGTCTGCCTTTTCATGAAGAGATCACTAAGAAATCTAATTCCTGAAACAACGATGGCCTCCACCCAAGACAAAAGCATAACAAAGTCTCTACTTAAAACTAATGCAATGATTCTTTAACCTCCCAAAAGTCTTTCTCTGTATTGCATAGAGAGAGTTTGCATGTACTAGGGCTGTACTAGTGGGACAGTAATAGCTGGCTTTAAAGTACTAAGTAAAAAAAATTGCATTTTTATTTATTTTTGTATCTGACAGCACCTGTCCTGGTACGATGCTTTGCTGTCAAGCTTAACTTTTTTTATCACCTGAATTAGGTGCATTCAAACTACCTGAATGGGAGTTGACCCACCCATGCTAACCATGAGATTTCTCAATTAGCTTTTGTGAGTAGCATTGTATCTGCAACACAAATAATGAAAGGCTGTGTATGAGTGCACTGAAATCCAGAAGAACTAAGTGGAAATTGTTCCTAGTAAAAAGGGATTTGTGAAAAAGTTGTAACAGCAGATGCAGGTTTTTCTTCTTTATTGATCCCGAAGTCAGCTAGTCTAGAAAATATGGTTCTGTTTACAGGCAGCACAGGCATACTCTACTGCATCTAGACTTCAGTCTTGCCATCCCTACCAGCATGTCTGCATGTCAGAAGATGACCCAGGTCTACACTACCCTCCCCTATCCCCACATCCTCCTTGGAAGAAGATCTCAGCACAGAAATGTGAATTGAACCATGCTCCCCAGCCATACCTTGCCAGGTGAAAACACCTGGGAGGAAAGAAATACCAGCCCCTCCATGTAGACACAATCAGAACATTTAAAAGAAAAAGGAAGAGGAAAAAGTAGGGAGAGGGAAAGAGAGAGGAGCATCAGGTTTTGCCATTGAAAGGTAGAAGCTTGAGAAATCAATAATGAAAAATGACTTACAGACTGGAAAAGCACTGGCCTTGCAGAGATCCCATTTTAAACCACATGCTGGATAAAAGTGGCTTGAAGTCACAAGTAAGCACACTCTTGGTTTGCTGGTTTGTTTGTTGTTTTTTTCTACCTGTGTTCTGGAAAATGGGCTCTTGTTCCCTAAGAACAAACAACATTAATGCTAACTTATTTCACTACCAAAATTCCTCTCTTATGAGATATCCCTCTCAGGTTTAAAAAATTGATCTCACTGCTCAGATCTCAAATGGTGAGAGATAGCAGTAGTGTACAGCCTGGGCTTGGAAAAACAACGTGTGCTACCAGATGCTTCCTTTCTGAAGGTCTGGAGCTTTACACCCTTCTCATTAAACCTTAAAAAATTTTAAACCTTGAACAGGACTTAATTTGAAAGTGCAGACTTTCAAAATGGTCACAGAAATGCAAATTTATTCCTCCATATCAGTTTAGCTTGAACTTGTTCCTCGTGAAGTTTATGTATACTATATTGTCTATCCCCTCTACATTCATTTTCCTTGAGGCCTTCTTTTGATATCTAAAACTTAGTGGCATCAAATGAAGTCAGTTCTACTGTTCCAATTTCCATTAATAATCTCATTCATAAACACACCATGAACACATAACACACACATGCAGAGAGAGGAGTCTGTATATTTATTCTGCAACACAAAGTATTTGGACCAGCCACAACAGTGTTCTATGAGGAATTTTTTTTTTTTTGCCTGTCAACTGTTTTAAATAGCCAGAAAGAGAGAAAGCTTGAATACAACTTTGTCTGAAGGGCTGCAGAGAAGTCAGAAAATGAGTGATGCTGACTTCTTGCAAATGAAGCTGGGTTTTTTTTTTTTAACAGATGAAATAACTTTCGAGATATGCTACACTCAGAGACAACTGTCATTCCTGATCTAGGAATTCACACGTTATTTTTCCTGTTTCTCCTCAGCTGCAATAAAAAGACTAGCAGAATATATTGAGAGAATAGGAGAGGTGAATCTGTTGAGAGGCTCTCTAATGACTGCTTACTGTAGCATTTTTTCCATGATGGCTTAATTAACTAGTTATGGTATATTTGCTATCCTTAGTACTTATTAAAATTTTTATGTATACTCACACATGCAGCTTTGAACACGGATTTTAAGATAAGGGCCTTTTTTCTTCCTTTTCTTTTTTTTTTCTGATTCTTTTCTCTAATTCTCTTAGCAATCAGCTTACCCTAATTATATTTAGTCTACAAAAGGCTGCTGTGTGCTGTTGTAATATGCCACCTGAGAGATACCTCCTTGAAGTTTGGTAGAGTTTAATAAAAAACTAGTTAGTGAAGGCTAAATCCCAGAAAGAACGAATGCCACAAAGTCACTTAGGTTACATGGGAATTCTTCCTTTGCAGCACAGACACATGCCACTCTTAAAACTTCTAAGTGTTTTGATAGATTCCTGCTTCTTGCTACATTTCCTGTTCAGCCACAGTTAACTTAAGAAGTGCTAGTTTAGATTTGTAGGAGTTTCACAAGTGCTACGTAAATGGCTTTGACAACTTTATGTAAAGCAGAAGGGTTTATTTTCCTTCCTTGCTCAAAATATCAAAAATAATTTCACTCTTCTTTCACATTCCAAATGGCAATCACTTGAATTCTTTAAGAAAAGCGCGTGTTTTGATAATATGCCATAAAGTATAATATATTATGAAGCATAATATGCTTTGTTGAATAATGGTCGAGTTACATATGTAACAAAATTAGTCATATGCTCATGTTTTCTGTTGATTCACCTATTGTAGGAATGACTAAACCAGCCTACACAAATATAAATGGCAACATTATTATGACATAAAGCTCCAAAATAAGATCATTACAGCATTTGGTATGAAAAGCAGCATGGCAAACATCTCACCTTCCTTCCAGAATTCTCCTCTTCCATATCTTATTCCATTGGACCTGCTTTTTCCACATACAGCAGCTTCATGCATTGGCTGTAAAACAGAAGAATCACATATGCAACTTTCAGTAAAATTCCTCTTTTTCTTTAAGCTATAAGGCCATTGTGGTACAATGTCATTAATCTGACTGTACTTTGGAAGGCAAATGACTGTCAGCTGAGCAGTCACAAGGCAAAAATCACTTCCTGAAATGCATTACGTATATTACTTTTTAAACATAATTGAAATTATTAGCAAATTATTTTGAGGCACTTTTCAAAGACTAAATAATGACACTGAGGTCCAGCACCAGCAATTCTTTTAAAGAGAATTGAGCCACATCACTTTGTAATGTCTGAGGACTGAGAAAAGTGACTCCTAATGACATTTTTTTTACCAAGTCTTTTTTTTTATTAAATGTGATGTAATTAGTACTAATAGTCATAAAAAAGCAACAGAGCAAATCAGACTGTGCAAAATCCAGCTATATTATTTCCAATACCTGAGATATTTTATTTATATTATATATACCTATATAATATAAATAAATATAATATATATAAATATATAATATAGGTATATATAATAAAATAATATAGGTATGTGTAATAAAAATTAATATATATACAAAATATAATAAAAAGCACTTTTACTTTGTCTTGTTTCAGGCTCTATCTGCATTAGTGACTGTCAACCTGTGAAAAGAGCACTGTGTTCTTATTAAAGGCAAAGCTGCAATCCAAAGTAGGTCAAAAGAAAGGAGCACCTGACAGAGATCATAGCTAAAAAAAAAGAAAAACACCCATCTGTAGCACCATTGCTAATGACAAGCTGAACCTAGGCGAAAAGGTTCCTTTCAGGAAAGAACTAGGAGGAGGGGCAGTACAATAAATACAGTGGCACATGCCTGCTTGCCTGAAGAGTTTCTTCTCACTCAGTCCTGATGCCCCTCCATCAATCATGGCTGATGTCTGCATTACATTCTAATTCCTAAAATGCATCTCCTGTCATCTGGAAAGATCAAAGGGGAGGCTTGCTTAGGGACAAGGGAGCATGTTAACTGCAATCCCACCCCTTTGTTTGTAAATCCTTTGCAAGGTTCCAATTGCTGTGAATTAATTACATTGGTTCTCACACAATGACACTGGTTCTACCTGTTTCTTTCCCATTTTTTTCCTTAATCTCTTAAAATAAATATACATTGTAATATCTTAGGCAGCCAGCCTTTCAAGGATATGAATATGATCTTGAAGCATTATGATTACAGAGCACTGGAAATCTACATGTATTTTCTCTCATATGAGAACTGCATTAACATTTCACTCTACTTAACCTCCCAGTAGAATTGTGAGGGTATCATTTATAAGAATTGTATAGGTAGTATAGGAAGAAGAGAGGATTGATTGATTCAGGAGGGAAAGTCATATTTCTTTCAGGCATATTCCTAAATTGCTTGACACACATTTACTTATATGTGAAGGCTATACTTGAATAAAGCTGATATCTGAGCGCGAATAAAATAAATTTCAAGGTAGAATTGGGAGAATTATTAAGGAAACAGCTGAGATTCAGACTGCATAAAAGTTGTATATACAAACAGGAAATTTACACCAAATTTGAACCACTTTTTAATCTAACACAGTTTCATTAAACACACTTAGTTCAATTTCATACTGCTTTACTGAGGCTTAATTTAAGCCATTTCCTCCAAGCTTGTTCCCAGTTAACTTAGACTATGTCTACCTTAAAGTCTCTTACAGTTCAAAACAGCCATGTTATGGAAAGTGAGCTAACGCACATCTGAGGCAGCATAAATTCCTACTACAGATTCTGTTCTACCAGAAAAAGTGTCCTTTAGCTTGATTTGCTTCAAGACAGTGAATTTATTACATTGATACAAAGGTTCAGTTTGATAATGGTTCCATTAGGAGCACTTTGCTGGTTTACTGTATTGCTATTTCTTTAATGGTAGTCTTTCTAGTATAGTTGTTTCTGGATATTAAATTGAACCAAACCTGATTTAAACCCAGAATAAGAGCATCATCCCAACTTTCCACATATAAGCAACCACTGTGCAAGAGTGACATAAAAGGAGTTTGTTAATCCCACTATATACTATTTTCCCAGGGCAAACATTTTTTTGATGGAAAAATTAAAAAAAAAAGGTATTAAACCTCTCTTTGGAATTAAATAACAGTGATGGCTGTCACAAATCCCAGAGTGTTCCAGAAGTTAGCACAGCTGAACTCCAGAGTATATGTATAACTGTATCAGCTTCTTTCTTTTTCTACGGATATATTTACATTAAGCTTTGAATCTGAAAGGGACTTTAGAAAGGATTCATGGAATGATTTAACCAGGCAAGAAAATAGAAGGTATAAAAGTTATTGCTTATGCCTCATTTGAAGTAAAGATGTGGAAGAAGGAGACAAAATTTCTTTGCAGGGGAAAATCAATGATTTCAAAGTTTATAGCTTTTTAGAAAGAAAAAAAAATCTGCAAATAGTTTCAAATAATATCTCTTGTTACTGTGATACTGGTGATAGTATTTCAAGAGTCGATCGAACATATCTAAGTAAAAGGAAAATTAGTATTGCCTTTAAACTTAAGATTCTTAAATGAAAGCAGTGTTTCTTTCTACATTGTGAATTTTCTGGATTTGAAAGTCAGTCTAGTGCCCTTTAAAGTTGTGAATTTGTTAGGGTGAATTTTCCTGGTCGTTTGATTCTGAACATCATTAAAATTTCATAGCTTATATACATAAGTATTAAAAAATAGTCTTATTTTAATGAAAAGATGTGTCTATTCCTGCCTTTTGAATTTTAAAATAAAAATTTCATTTTCATTTATTTTTTCTGCTTTTGGTAATTAAATTATTGTAGTCTATCAGTAAACATTCACCTATTTTATATGAATGCAAAAGTCATGCCAGGTGGAAAGGGTTCATATACACACAGGTGTGGAAAATAAAAAAGTCAGGAGGGAAATACAGTACACTGAAGATTATTTTATTTATTTTTCTCTTATCATGCCTGCAAAAGTAGGTAGAAGTTGACTTAAACTCCTGAAATTTTTTGTTATCCTGGTAAAATTTGAAGACATCTCCAGTAGACCTGAAAAAAAAAAAAAAAGAAAATAGTGTGTAGAGTAT